AAATTGATTCGACCATCCGTTTGCCCAAAATGGAACTTTGAAACGCGCCGTAAAACGGTTCGGCATTTTCTGAATTGCACATTTTATTTCCTACGATATTCCAGAGGGACTCTCGGCAATGTTTCAGGACATAAAATGTCGCTTTCATATTTTTTCGCAGCTCTCCCAAACTGTGATTTTTTACTTTTCACTTCGTTTCGAATATATTTTACAAGCTTGTGGCTCCTCCATAAAATTTATCGCTACTATGGCCTTTCCTATTACGGCACGATTTCATGCATAAATTGAATACTTTGTTTGAATAACGACGCTGAATTGCAAAAAAAAAAGAGAGAGAGAAAACACACATATTATGTAAAACCGTTGACATCAACATTAATATTCAAGTGCGAATGTTCATGCATTTTGAAAAGATTTACGAGATATTTATAATACATATTTATTATAACATTCAACTGCAAGCGAAACGCAATTTCCATCCAAGTTTCATTATCTCAATTATATCCAAGAAAAAGGAGCGTAAAATTGCTCGAATATGCATAGGCTTTCTTATTACATGTATCAGATAATAGACTGCTGATTCAACAATACAGTAACCTATATAACCTCGCGCGATGTTCCAAGAAAAAAAAAAAGAAAAAAAAAATAAAAACAGAAAGAATCTTTATTAATTCAATCGTGCTTTATATACGTAAATCGAGCACAACGTTCATAAACAATAATACACACCTTCCGACTCTGTCACTGGTCGGAGAATTAAACGTCAGCTCGTCGGATTACCTTGCAATCTCCAGATTACACTGATGGAGCAGCGTACGGGCCGGATGTTCTCTTCGATCGTTCGGAATATCGATCAGTACAACACGTGTACGCGGCCGTGGTCGAAGCTTGATCCCGGCTCGCGAAACAACAAGCCGACCGCGTACAGGCCAAACAAACGTCAGTTCGATATCTCGCTAAACAGATGCGGTGGAACAAGTCAGGTCCCTGATATCGTGTTGCTCGCGAGAATTTCGCGCGTCATCGAAAATTGGATAGCCCGGCTAAGCGGTAGAGATGGGATCGAGTGTCTCGCGTAAATAGTTTCGAATCATCCGGTGAAACGGAAGTCCGATGATGAGGAAAATGAAAGGAATTAACACGCCTTCTTTTCTTTAAGAAATTTGAATTCTATGCAACGCCA